AATGTTGGTCATTAAAAGAGAAGCATAATACTAAGTTAAGTGTGGTAGAGATGAGGATGCTAAGGTGGATGAGTGGCTTTACCCTTAGAGATAGGATACGAAATGAGCATAAACGTGAAAAGGTTGGAGTAGCTCCAGTAGAAGATAAGATTTGAGAGAGTCGCCTTAGATGGTTTGGTCACATAAAACGGCGGCCTTACGATGACCCGGTTAGGAGAGTAGAGGTATTATATTTGACTTATGTTAAGAGGTAGGGGTAGAACTAAAAAGAATTGGTTAGAAAATATTAGGAATGACCTTTCTTTATTATATTTAAATGAGAATTTGACTTTTAATAGGACACAATGGAGAAAAAGGATTCATGTAGCTGACCCTACGTAGTGGGATAAAGGCTTGATGTTGTTGTTGTTGTTGTTGTTGTTGTTGTTGTTGTTGTTGTATTATTTAATGTGGGGGTGAAGGAAAAGAGATAGAAGAAGAAATGAATTAGAGTGGATCATATGTGAAGATGAGAGGATCGAGAACTTCATCTTATTCGATTCTCTTTTGATGTTCGAAGAGATTAGGAGGAAGTACATGCAATCAAGTTTCAAGTTGCAAGTTTCAAGAGAGAGAGAGAGAGAGAGCTTGATCCTCACCATCCTGGTTGATGCTTCTTACATGTGAAGCCAATAGAGTTATCAAAGCTAGGAAGACAAGAAAAAAAGAAACAACATGGTGGAGTAAGAACAAAGAAGTCCTTGCTTATTTTGACAAGATATGATTAGGTGATATCCTTACTTATTTTATTTAATAAATTTATGTTTATTTCAAGTTTATTAATTAAGATCTAGAGTTTGTTATTACTTTTGTACCATGTTGTGTAATTAATGTTGTGATAGCCATCTCTATCTCCACATAGATGTAGACAACCTTTGCTAAATCACGTCGATTATGTTTTTTCATTAATCTTGTGGTTTGCTTACTATTTTTTTATGAATTTAGTTTGAATTTGTTGTAATTTTCAAGATTATAGCCTTTTTATGATTTATCTAATATTATTGTACTATTTCTAATCAAATGTTAATCAAATTTTAACCCGTGGATGTAGGCAAGATTATAGATTATAGCCTTTGTTTGATTAATCTCTACATTATTGAAGGCCTTAAAAAGAAGTTTTCTTGCATAAAATTGAGTTATTAGTCTGTCGGCTGCATAAGGCTATTGTATCATTACTAAAGACAGCTATGGAGAGGTTCAATTGCACTTTTTTTTATACAGTCTTGAAGTGTGTTATTTTCTTTTGACCTCCGC